AGTTATGCTAATGAGTCTCCCTAGCTCTTTTTCTACGAAATGACTCCTGGACAAGAGTAAGTGGACAGTAGAAATCTGGCATAATTATTTGTTTGATTTCATACAGTCGGATATAATTGAGAAGCTGAACCGGAAGACCACATGGGAAGACAAGACCACAGAAATAAGGAAGAAATGGAAGACATACCTAGAGTGGTTACCATCAGAAGGGAGAAAAGACATTCAGTGCAAGATTTGGACTTTGTGCCCGTGGCTGTGAACAAAGGACTAACGCATGGGAACAGCAGAGGGGGGAGGAGGGAGGGAGAAGGGGTATAAACTGTCACGTAATGTACGGGTTAAAAGACAATATGTAACATATACCAAAAACTACATAAAAATTAAAATTTTTAAAAAAGCAACCATAAAATGACCACTGTGGGTCGGGCGGCCACACAGAACACATGGAGGAAGACCAACAGGCCCGTAGCAAGCAGAGGGGGGAGGAGGGAGGGAGAAGGGGTATAAACTGTCACGTAATGTACGGGTTAAAAGACAATATGTAACATATACCAAAAACTACATAAAAATTAAAATTAAAAAAAAGCAACCATAAAATGACCACTGTGGGTCGGGCGGCCACACAGAACACATGGAGGAAGACCAACAGGCCCGTAGCTACGGTGGGGCTTTTGAGGGGCTCTGCCCCCTTTCTTAAAGGCACACCCTCACAAAAATTTTGCCTGCAAATGCTTTTTTCAATCATTTTAAAACTTTTTTAAAAAATGCATGTGGTCCTTTAAGCAGAGTGGGGTGCTGTAGTTGACTAATTCCTGCACTGAGCAAATGGGTTGGAGTAGGTGACCTCTAGGATCCCTTCTAACTCTGTGTCAAGAAACTGGTCTCTTTTAAGAGAGTTTTCCTGCCTAAGTGTTAGCTTTCTTGACTATAGAAGTTATCACCCCCCACCTGCCAGCTTGTTCTCAGAACTGTTGCTTAGGCTGGCAGAAGTGATTAACTTGCAGCAGCTGAGAACTGTCATCTAAAGTGGCTGACAGCTTGCAATTTAGAGATCTATCCTGGTTAACAGCTTTCTCTTGGCTAAATGACTTTCCTTTCTGCACTGAGAACTTCAGCCCCACCAGAAAAAAAAAAATGTCCCACAAGCCACAAAATCCTGGCTAGGGGCCTGCAGAGCCCATAAGATCTCCACTGGCCAATCAGAAAGCCAGCTGGGCAAGAGCCCTACCTGGCTCCACCCACAGTCTAAAATACTTGGCGGGCACCAGGAAAGGTGTCAGTGGGCGCCATGGCACCTATGAACATGGTGCCGGAGACCCCAGTCAGCACACTGCTGCTGTACTAAAGAACACACACACTGGAGGCCCTATGGCCCAGTCATACAGAGCATGCATTTTCTTTCAAACCAAATAGAGTTCTAACACACATATGTCAAACGAGAAGTATGCTCCAGTGCCTTTTTAAAGACAGTCCCTCACCACAACACGGAACAACCACTGTTACCTGGAAATGTTTTTTGGGGTTCCTCCTCTTGCATTCTCTGGTATGTTGGCGGAGTACCATTTGTAGTTTCAACATACTGTCCACTCCTAGAAGGGAGAAACAATTTTTAAAAAAAACTTCAGATCATTCGGTACTTACTATAGAATCTGTAACAAGTCAACTGACGACAGGGTTGCCACCCCCCTGATAGGGGCGGGGTTTTCCCCGATTTAGGGTCCCCCCATCTGCCACCGGCCAGCTGGCTAGCGGGGGAGCCCCACCCCCAAAGAGCCCTTCCATGTCCAATACGATGATGTCACCTGGAGGTAACGTCATCACATCAGGCAGGTCGCACAGGGGATGCTCTAGCATTTGGCCAAAAACTCTATGGTGACCATAGAGCTTTTGGCCAAATGCTAGAGCATCCCCTGCACGACGTGCCTGGTGTGATGACGTCACTTCCGGGTGACATCATTGTGGCGTGCGTGCTTTGCGCGCGCACCAGATCCCGGGGAGCAGCCTGGAGTCCCCCACCAGCAGACGGTAAGCACCTGGCAACCCTAACTGGCAAAAATAGCTTTGAAAGGGGATCAGACAGATTTAAGGAGGAGAGATGGATCAGTGGCCACTAGCCATGGTGAATAAAGGGAACCTTCCCACTTTTGTTGTTGTTGTTCAGTCGCACAGTCGAGTCCGACTCTTCGCGACCCCATGGACCAGGTCACGCCAGGCCCTCCTGTCTTCTGCTGTCCTCTGAAGTTGGCTCAATTTCATGTTCGTTGCATCGATGACACTGTCTAACCATCTCATCCTTTGCCGTCCCCGTCTTCTTTGACCTTCAATCTTTCCCAGCATCAGGGTCTTCTCCAGTGAGTGCTCCCTTCTCACTTGGTGGCCAAAGTATTTGAGCTTCAGTTTCATTATCTGGCCTTCCAGGGAACAGTCAGGGTTGATTACTTTTAGGATTGACTGATTTGATCTCCTTGCAGTCCAAGGGACTCTCAAGAGCCTTCTCCAGCACCATAGTTCAAAAGAATCTATTCTTCGGCGCTCGGCCTTCTTTATAGTCCAACTCTCGCAGCCATACATGACTACTGGGAATACCATTGCTTTGACCATGCGGACTTTTGTTGGTAGGGTGATGTCTCTACTTTTTATCATGCTGTCTAGGTTCGCCATCACTTGGGAGGTGGTAAATCTCTGAGTACCAGTGCTTGAAGGCAACATCAGGGGAAGGCCTCGGCCTCTATGTCCTTTGGTTGGCCCTCCAGAAGAACTGGCTGGCCACGGGGTGAGACAGGAGGCTGGACTCGATGGACCAGTGGTCTGATCCAGCAGTGCTTTTCTTGTATTCTTTAACTTGTGTTACTCACCTGAAGGAAGGAGGCACTAGCTCAGGAGGCAGAGTTAATGGAAGGGGCTGCCCAGCTCTGGCCACATCTGTCAAATGCATAGCTAGGATGAACTCTTCTGCCCTCAGCTGTCCGTCCCCATCAACGTCCGCGAGTGACCTGCAAGTGACAGACTGTATGAACTGGACTGAGGGAATAAGGAACAGCAACTTGATTGTTTCAGAGTGTATATAAATATATACATACTTAAATACAGGTTATTACATCGACCACATCTGCCAAAGCAAAGCTTCAAACAACGGCTCTGTTCAAACCATATGAGATTTTAAGCATCAAAGCACGTTCACACACACACAAAGTACACAGGTGTGCTGTGGGGCATGAGGAATTAATGTGGACTCCGATCACGTTCTAAATTTTCCTTCGAAAGCCATCCCTGGACCCACAAGAGACTCTTAAAGCTGGAGGAAGGCCTCAAACTTTTCTCCTCTCTCCCGATTCAATAAAAGGGGCTTTAAATATTGAATACCCCAGGCTTGGCCCAAGGTCCTCAGAGCTCAGAAGGAGGCCCTGACAGAGGTCGAGAGAGGCCCCGGGCCCCTTCCATCTTTGAGGGGGCCCCCCAGTAAATTAAAAAACGAAGAAGTGCGAAAACAGTGATACAAAATTAATGGCGTTATATTTTAAATGTTCACATTTATTACAATAAGAATAAGAATATCGTAAGACTTTGTAATAAATGTTCCCATTTTTATTTAACGTGATTTAACGTCGAGATTTAACGGCAAAAGTGCCCCCCCCCCGAGAATGTGAGGCCCGGGCCAAATGGCCCTGCTGGCCCCCCTCTCAGAGGCCCTGCTCAGACGCTAAGCAGGGCCAGCCACGCAGAGTAATTTGATGGGAAACCACCAGGGGAGTCCAAGATTGCTAAGTGGAGGAAGGCCATGGCAAACCATCGCTGTTCATCTCTTGGCTGGAACCCCCCCCCCCGGTCCGGGGTCACCATGAGCTGGTTGAGACTTGATGGCATTTGATTATTTAGCTGATTCCAATCAGAATAGTTTTTAGAGAGTTTGAGTTCCAACTTGAGAGGTGGGGAGCATTTGTCAGCCTATTTAAAAAGAAGGCTTCTAGCCGGGTAGAAAAGAGGACTGAAGGTGCTACCGCTATAAACAGCCAGAGCGCAATTGAGCCAGCAACTTGAGATAGAGAGCAATTGCCAGCCAATTAAAAAAAAAAAAAAGGCTTCTAGCCAGATAGAAAAGAGGACTGGTTGCTACACTTAGAAATAAATTAACTGGCTTAAGAACATAAGCCAATGTTGGATCAGGCCACTGGCCCATCCAGTCCAGCACTCTGTCACACAGTGGCCAAAAATACCAGGTGCCATCAGGAGGTCCAGCAGTGGGGCCAGGACACTAGAAGCCCTCCCACTGTTGCCCCCCCCAAGCACCTAGAAGACAGTACATCACCTGCCCCAGCCTGTAAGTTCCTATCTATATCTTGTGGCTAATAGCCACTGATGGACCTCTGCTCCATATGTTTATCCAGTTTCTTCTTGAAGCTGTCCATGTTTGTAGCCGCCACCACTTCCTGCGGCAGTGAATCCCATGTGTTAATCACTCTTTGGGTGAAGAAGTATTTCCTTTTATCCGTTCTAACCCGACCGCTCAGCAGTTTCATGGAGTGCCCACGAGTCCTTGTATTGTGAGAAAGGGAGAAAAGTACCTCTTTCTCGACCTGCTCTATTTATTTTATTTTTATTTATTTAACTATGTCGTCCGTCCCCCAGTGGGAGTCACCAGAGGTCACCATGACTTCCAGGCACGGGCACACACACACAATTAAAGGGAAAAAAAAGGTATTATCAACAGATGAACACATGATGCTGCCTTATACCGAATCAGACCATTGGTCCCTCACGGTCAGTTTTATCTACTCAGACTGGCAGCGGGTCTCCAGGGTCTCGTCTCTCCCATCACCTGCTACCTGATCCATTTTACTGGAGATGCCAGGGGTTGAACCTGGGACTTTTTTGCGCTGCACGTCAAACGGGTGCTCTACCACTGAGCCACAGCCCTTCCCAAATCATTAGCAAACTTACCAAATGGTAGCTAACTGAGTCTGAGAAAGGTTTGATTGCAGGAGGGCATTTTTGGCTTGAAAACCTTAACAAACAAACAAACAAAGATGAGCATTCACTAGATTATTTTTACCCAATATGTTTGTTAAAATACCCTAACAAGGCATGGCTCAGATAAACTGGATGGATTTCACCTGATAACTAAATTATGATTACGGGAACACAATGTAAATAGGAGAAGGGTGGGAGTGACATAATCAAGAACCACCACAGAAAAGATTCTTTCCTCAGTAACTGCCTGCCTAACCTCTGAGGAAAATGGAGAGAGGCCTGTGATTTTAGTTGCCGGACAGCTTAGCGTGGCCCCAGGAGGTTCAGGGCTTTACAGATCAATGCCAGCACTTGGAAACTGAGCTTGGAAACAAAGCAGCAGCCCATGAAATTCCTGCAGGACGGAGGCAGCACGCTTCCAATGGCTAGCCCCAATATGGCTGCCATATTCTGGACCAGATAGGGTTTTCAGAGGGAGCCCAATGTAGAATGTGATACCCGAATCAAGCGGAGAGGGAACCGGGCCGCAGATATTAGGGGCAAGATCGTTTTGAACCAAAAAGGGGAATGAAACTTGTCAACCAGCAGTAACTGGTAAAAAAAATGTCACTATGCACTTCTAGTCAACTAAAAGAGCTAGTAGTGACACAAACTGTTATTACTACTTGTCAAAGGCTTTCATGGCCGGAGTTCATTAGTTGTTGTAGATTTTCTGGGCTGTATGCCCATGGTCTTGGCATTGTAGGATCTGACGTTTCACCAGCAGCTGTGACTAGCATCCTCAGAGGTATAACACAGAAAGATGGAGTACTCTCTGTGTCAATGTGAGAAAAAAAATGGTAGGCAGGTAATTTATATCTACTCAGGAAGGTGGGGTAGGGCTGAGTCATTATCTTGTAGGAGTTTCCCAAGCTGTGACATGCTAATGGAGGAGCTTTCCTGAGGAGGTTATTTTGCATATGGATTGGCTGTTGAAATTCTAATCTTATCTGTAGTGCTGTTGCAAGATGTAGAGCATTTTGTGTTTTTCAGGACAGGAAACTGCCCTGTTTATTTTTAAACTCTCTGTTCCTGTTGAAATTGCGTTTATGTTTATGAATTTCAATGGCTTCCCTGTGTAATCTTAAGTGTCCAGCATTTCAGGATAAACAACAACAGCAACACAATAATAATAGTTTGTGTCACTACAAGCTCTTTCGGTTGACTAGAAGTGAATGGTAAAAATAATAATAAGCCAACGTTAACTGATTTAGTTTAACTTTAAATCTCACCTGAAGAGATCTAGGCCTGCTAAGATATACTCATTTACACATTGAGGAAAATATTCAAAAGTACAAATGCATTTAAATATTACAATTACAACAGTGCTTTGGTCCTCCACCTGTATGGATGACTATGAACAGTCCATTTAGGGGAAAGGACTTATTCTGCAATATGCAGGGCTATTTTGGGGCAGGAACGCACAGGAACGGAGTTCCGACTGGCTCCTGAGTTGGCCACGCCCAGCAGGAACTCATTAGCATAATAGGCCACACCCAACAGCAGAAATTCATTAGGATTGGCTACATTAGGGGTGTGTGGCCTAACATGCAAAGGAGTTCCTGCTACAAAAAAAGCCCTGGGTTTTGACAACAAACAAGGTAAACAGAATAAGAAGCAAAAGGTGGGTGTGGCTGGATGACCACAGTTCTGGTAACGTGGGGTGTGGCCTAATATGCTAATGAGCTGCTCTGTCAGGGGTGTGGCATAATATGCTTATGAGTTTCTGCTGTTGGGTGTGGCATATTATGCTAATGAGTTCCTGCTGGGCTTTTTCTAAAAAAAAAAGCCCTGGCAATATGCAACAAACTCTTCAAAGCAGCGCTTTCTATTCTTCTAAGATGAAATCCCCCTTAGGACATAAGGCATGATTACAGGACGGAAACTAGCTTGCAAAACCCACAACAAAAGTTATGGGGTGGGGGGACCATTCCACAACTGTGTTCTTCAGTAAGACTAACAAAAAGGAAGGTACACTTAGAAACTAGAACAAAATGATTGGGGGAAAGAAATTGTATACATTCTTCAAAGAAACACAATATTCTGCTACTTTTTCTTTTTAAAAAAATCTATATTTCAGAACTTTAATTGTAACACAAACCTGACAGGTATCCGCTCATTCCTTTATCGAGGCTATTAAATTTCTGCCGGTATTTTAATCTGGAAGCCTGGGGGACTGCCCAGTCAGAAGATTTAGTCTTTGGTGAATTCCCAGTTAGTGACGTGGTAGAAGAAGAATTTGAACTGCAACAGGAACCGTTCAAAAGACAAGCGGTTTAGAATAACATAAAAATACCAGCCAGATCTGAAATCCTCTCTTCTTAACAGTTTTAAATGGATCATGATTTCTACACGGATAAACGATTTAGGTTCTTCCAAGCGCCAATGAAGTTAGTATGCACTTTTGTAAGAAGCAAGTTAGGTTGTGAAGGTCTCCGAAACCCGTGTTTCTGCTGAAAAATATAAGCCTATAATTGCGACATGGCAGTTTTATACCTGAAGGTCCATACCTACTAGATGCTAAATCTATCAGAGACTGCGTCTTCTGGATACTGGCGCCACCAAATCCTCCTGTCATGGGACTGTGCGAACTAGAATGAGGCAAAGCTAAAACAAACAGAAGGAGATAAATGAGTTCAGGGTTACCACATGAGTGCCATTAACTGATTCAAAATCGTTCAGTTAGTTTGATTGATAGGCCAGGGCCAGTATGGTGTACTGGTTAAGAGTGCTGGACTAGCAGTTGGGAGACCCAGGTTCAAATTCCCACTTCTGCACTGGGTGACCTGGGGCCAGTCGCACTCTTTCAGCCTAACCTACCTCACAGAGTTGTTGTGAGGATAAAATGGAGGAAAGGAGAACGATCTTCACATGTCAGAACCCCGGAGTGAACTTCTGCAGGAGAACAGTATGGGCTATGCAGTTTGGGGGGACGGGGGGGTGGACGGGGACATGGGCTGTCTGGGTACAGTGGACAGAAAACTGAACCTCTAGCCCTTCTAGACCCTGCTGGGGCCTAAGGGATGTAAGGACAAAGAAGAAAAAAGGGGGGGAAAACTGAACCTAAACCTAGAATTCAGAACCTAAAAAGGCTAGCCAAGAATAGAAGAGGGCCAACTCTAAAAATCTAATTATGAAACATAATTTCATAAACAAAGGTCCATTCATACAAGAGCTAATAAGATAGACCTAACGCGTTTCGGCCTGTACAGGCCTTCCTCAGAGGTCTAATACAGACAGAACATATTGGCTGATATGCAAAAATACATACAATCATACATATATAAAATATGGAATAAAGACTAGAAACCAATTGTTCCAAAGTTTAACCACTGGGCAAAGAAAAGAAATACAAAAATACAAATGAAGCCTCCAGTGCAATCACATGTTAAAAGGAACATTTTATTGGGAACATTTGGCTGTACAATCTCAGAAGAATATACAGTTGACCAGAGAGAAGTACTACTGGACATGTGAGGAAGGCCTGTAAAGGCCGAAGCGCGTTAGGTCTATCTTATTAGCCCTTGTATATTTTTGTATGTTTCATAATTAGATTTTTAGAGTTGGCCCTCTTCTATTCTTGACTAACCGCCTAAGCATGTAAATGTAAGCATTTATTTAAAAGTTTATAAATTTAATTTATTTGATTTCATTTAATTGATTACATTTAATTGATTTAAAGTTATAAATACTGGTGGGCGGAAAGTGCGATCGAGTCCCGGCAGACTTAACAGTGACCCTGCAGGGTTTTCACAACAAGACACATTTCATGGGTGGTTTGCCACTGCCTGCCTCTGCATAGCACCCCATGACTTCTTTGGTAGTGTCCTATCCAAGTATTAACCAGGGCCGGTTCTGCTTAGCTTCCGAGACTGGGCTTGCCTGGGCCATCCCGGGCGGGGCCGCAGGTGGGAAAACAGCTCAGTGGGACGTGTGGCTTATGAACAAATACCGGGAAGGTAAACGATTACACCGTCTCCCCCCCTCTTCCTCTTCTGAGTTTCAGCCTCCAAGGCTGATTTCGTGGCAACAAAACCAACAACAAAACACAGCCAAACTACCATGATCTAGGAAGTACCCTACAGCTGAACACTTTTTTGTGTGTGGCTTGGCTCTCGAAACTGGGAGACAGAACGGCATCTTCTACGAGCACAAACTGTTGGGGGGGGGGGGGGGGGGAGAGGCCTTCTGGTGGATGAGCAGGCAAGTTCTGTCTTGACCGTGTTCAGTCTGAGATACTGGCACTCGAAGGAGGTATCGGTCCATTCTTTCTCGGAGGTGGGGGTGATAATTCAACAGCAGCTGACGTGAACTTGGAAGGCAGATGTTGCTATACTCACTTGCAGAGTATGACACAGGCAACGGCTGGAGGAGGCTGGATATTCCATTTGGCAACGAGGCGGTGCTGGCTGAAGGCATCAGGGGAGCAGAAACCACCAAGGGTGGGATAGAGGTCATCGAAGGAAAAGACATGGGGGCCAGAGGTGCCATGGCAGGAACAGATGCTGGCATGGAGAGATTTGGCATGCTGCCCATGCCTAGAACAGGAATCCAAGAGTTACCATTTCTCGATGTTGCACTCAACACCCGGGAAACCCGGAAGATTCATGTTTCAAGTTAGTTGTACAAGCTAATTTTAGACGACAGCTCTGCGCCCACACATGACGTCATACCCACTGCAGAGCTATGATTTATTGTCTTTACTGTTTTTGCAACCAGAGTCATAAAACAGCAAACCCTCATCCCACAATAAACCTCGTTCCACAGGTAAACATGGAAGAATTTAAAGATTGCTACTGCAAAAGTTATGTGATTTGACAACAGCTACTGAACTGCAGGCTGTGGAAGGTCAGTAGTTCAGCAGTTCAAGACCCGAGTTGTCGCATGACAGAGTGAGCTCCCATCTCTAGTTCCAGCTCCTGCCAACCTAGCAGTTCGAAAGCAAGAAATCGCAAGTAGATAAATAGGTACCACTTCGGTGGGAAGGTAACAGCGTTCCGTGCGCCTTGGTGTTTAGTCATGCCGGCCACATGACCACGGAAACGTCTTCGGACAGCGCTGGCTCTTCGGCTTTGAAACGGAGATGAGCACCGCAACCCTAGAGTCGGACTCGACTGGCTTTCGAGCAAGGGAACCTTTACCTTTTACTAGAAATATTGCCACACAAAGAGTCGTTTGCCTGTCTTCGTGTCTAAGTAACCAAGATGATTTTGCTTCTGGAGATATGACGTTCTGATTAAATAAAGGGGAGATCACTGTAGCATGATCTATATAGTTAGTTTTCCTCCAAATACTTTAGAACATCTTTTGTAACGGGTGGAAAACTGGTTCTTGCCCCTCTTTTCAGTCTCAAGCCATCTCTATCCTTTTATTTGCTGCAAAATCAGCTATAGTTTCATGCTGGAAAGAGAGAACATTACTGGATCTGTCGCACTGGCACAAAGAGTTATGGGACCTTTATATCATGGCCAAAATCACTGACAACTTATCGCACCTTACCTCACAAACATCTCCATCTAACTTTGTGGCAATTTGGTTCCCCCATTATGGACTATCTGACAAAACAAGCTGCTATTCCTGATGTAACTGACATTCTATGCCTCAGGTAATTTTGAAAGATCTTCCGGTACTTTTAATATCCAGATTATAAAGGATAAAAATAGAAGGGGAAATATGGTTTACTTATTGCTTATTGTATGCATCTAGATTATCCTTTATGTATTTTGGTTAATTTAGGGATTATCGTGGTATCTTTGTTATTGTATATCTCATCTCATTATGCTTACTATGAGAAAATGCAACAAACTATTAATACAAAAAGAACATTATAATATTGCAGGTAACCACGTATAGATCGCAGGGGAGAGAAAAAAAGACAGAAATACATCATATCATCAAGGGCCTGCTATGCACACTTATTCTGGATGGCAGCCCCACTGAATTTAAGATGTTTCCCTGAGCAGACAAGCACAGAATTGGTTAAAATATGCTTCCTAATCTATTTTATCAACTAACAGATGTCGTTAGCTGTGGCGGAATTTGGGCATAACTGAGACTAGGCCTTTCTGTGTATCCCTTTGGACATCTATTCTTTGGCTCAACATCTATCCCACAAGGCTCTGAGAACTATTTAGTACTAGATGCCTCTTACTAAGTGTATATTCCTTCCAAAAGCGTTTTTTTGCAGATGCCCTTTCACATACAAGCATTGCTCACATTCCACATGATCCTGGTACTAGGCAGGAACCATAACATATAGATGTCAGTGAGGGGCTCCCTATCTCTCTATCCTTGAGGAGGAGACAGTCTACCGACTCTCTGATCTGACAGATCATAAACTAACTTTGAAGAAAGTTCATACAGTCAACGTAGGTGGGGTAGGGGTCTTGACGAGTTTGTCACTTTCTTGATTGACAGTGCAGAAGGTATATATTGCCCATGTTAGCTTTTGTTCAGGGCAAACAACTCTTGTGAGGGGCCTTGGTGAACAGACAGAAATATCCCTCTTTTTATAAATATACACTGCACTATATAGCAGGTGGAGCTGCGGTGGCTCAAGTGGTTAAGACGCTGAACTGCAGGCTGTGGAAGGTCAGTGTTCGGCAGTTCGAGACCCGGGTGCCGCAAGACGGAGTGAGCTCCCGTCTCTAGTTCCAGTTCCTGCCATCCTAGCAGTTCGAAAGCAAGAAATTGCAAGTAGATAAATAGGTACCACTTCGGTGGGAAGGTAACAGCGTTCCGTGCACCTTGGTGTTTAGTCATGCCGGCCACATGACCACGGAAACATCTTCGGACAGCGCTGGCTCTTCGGCTTTGAAATGGAGATGAGCACCGCAACCCTAGAGTCGGATTCAACTGGCTTTCGAGCAAGGGAACCTTTACCTTTTATATAGCAGGTATTGGGTTTTTCTGTATATTATTGGGTTTTGCTCTTATACGATTTCAATCAATAGTGTTTTAGTGTGAGAAGACTGGCCCGTGTCTCTCTCTCTGGGAAGATTCGGTCTCCAAGCCAGTCTCACTCTGGTTCATCGAACTCTGGTGACATTTGGGAGGGGCCCAGGGAAAATCCCTCAACGTTAACATCATTTCTTCTTTTTAAAAAACGAAACGATTTAATTAACATTCATTTGAGCAAGGTTTAAAACCATGCTCAGCTTCTGGTATTTAACAACGGGCTGCTGTAAGTTGGTGAATAAATCAGAGAATTCCTGGATCGCGTCCAGAAGCTCTATTGCACTGCTAGACAGCTACTGAGCACATCCCCCCCCCCAATTGCTTTGATATGTTCTGGCCTCACTGTTCTGCACCTGTTCCCCCCAAGTCTTCGTCCTCCTTCTGCCACCATTTCTGGAGGAAACATTTGTCAACGGATATAAAAAGATGCCAGGAATACCAGCACAGATTATGTCATCCTGGCTGCATGCAAGGCCATTGTTCCAAGCAAGAGAATTCCTGCAGGCCAGCCATACACTCTCCAAGGCTCAACTGGTACAGGGTCGACTCCAAAGAGTACTCCAAAGAGGAAAGCGATGTGAAGGCCCAGAAAAAAACCCGGAAAAATTCTTTTTTGTTTTTTTCCAAAAAATTGAAAAAAGAAAAGAAAAAAATTGATTATGAAACATTTTTTTTTAACATGATGACTAAAATATTTTAAGACAAGGTGTTCAAATATTTTCCAAATCATTTCTAAAAAATATGTATGGTATCGGATTGATCTAATTTCTGTGCACTGAGGACAAGCAAGTCCTAGGTTACAAACTGAACTCTCCAATGCAAGAACAAGATGCATTTCTTCCTTTAGGAGGTACTATTGTCACAAGAAAAAAAGGTTTCAATTTTGTTTTTGCATGTGGGTGGGTTAGGGTTGCCAAGTCAGAAGCGGCGCTGGCGCGGGGGACTCTATGTCAGTGTATTAAAATCTATCCTGGCAAGCTGTCAGTCTGCCATGGACAGTGAGTGTCAGTAAGTGTCAGATCAGAAGGATCTGAGAATGACAGCCAGTAGGTCATATGACATGGTGATTGCAGGGAGGTTGCATCAGCCTCTGCACTAAGCACCATGACTTGGCAAAAATGTAAATAGCTGTTATGTGATTGGTTGTTGTACATATAAATGTAGTGCTGTACAGTGCTGTACATCTCTTCTATGGGATCAGTTGCCTGCGCAGCACCTTGTCAGTGAGTACCACGATTTTGGACTCAGAGAGACTGTATATATACTCCAGCGTGTAAATAAACTGTAAATACTTTTACTACTCTGCTATTTGGTGATTCTTCATATACCGTCACTCTAGTGCTGCTTCGGGAGTGCGTGCGTGCTGCAACCCCGTCATCCGGAAATGACGCGACCACGCCGGGCATGCTGGGGGCGGGGCCACAACCATCCGAGGGAAAACCCAGCGAGCCCGTGCACGTCGCGTGCTTTGGGGGTGGGGTTCCCCCCGGGGCCCGATCCACTGGCGGCGGGGAACAGGCCTCTGGGGCGAGGGTTTCCCTGCCCCCCGGGGGGACTTGGCAAGCCTAGGGTGGGTATTCTGTTTGTAATAATTGTTTGGACACACTATATTTTTAATATGCTAGTTGTGATAATTTCATGCCAAGTAAAAATGTCCATAAGTCATATTTTATGTTCCTAAAGTAACAGAATGACTTTCAATCTGGAAAAGAAAAAAGAAGTGCTAATGTAGCATTTTTTCAATTTTTCCAAAAATGTCCGTTTCCCCTTTGGAAAAAAACATTTTCCCCCCCAAGCTTCAAAATTTCCGGAAATTTTACATCTCTACTCACTCTTGCCCCCCAGTTTTCCCTGCTGCTCCAACTTTCAGTTACAGGTGATTGAAGGCCTATAGCACGGATTTAAGCCTAAAGCCACCAGTACTCTGTCTGAGATTATTTCCAAGATGGCTCCAGCCACATGTGCTTCCTCCCATACGAAAAAGCAGCAGGAAGTTGAGCCATGTTGGCTAGACTGTCTGGTGAGGCCGAGAAATGTTAACATCACTTCTTTATATGAACAGTGCAGACAGAGATGTAAAAAGATGTTTTTAGGCCGTTAGGCCATTAGGCACAGGACCAGTGTTCCCTTTAAGCTGAGTTAGTGTGAGCTAAAGGTAAAGGTTCCCTTGCTCGAAAGCCAGTCGAATCCGACTCTAGGGTTGTGGTGCTCATCTCCGTTTCAAAGCCGAAGAGCCAGCGCTGTCCGAAGACATTTCCGTGGTCATGTGGCCGGCATGACTAAACACCAAGGCACACGGAACGCTGCTACCTTCCCACCGAAGTGGTACCTATTGATCTACTTGCAATTTCTTGCTTTCGAACGGCTAGGTTGGCAGGAGCTGGAACTAGAGACGGGCGCTCACTCTGTCATGCGGCACACTCGGGTCTCGAACTGCTGAACTACCGACCTTCCGCAGCCTGCAGTTCAGCGTCTTAACCACTTTAGCCACCGCAGCTCCAAGTGTGAGCTAGCCCACAGTTTTTTAGCCTCCGGCTCACAGATTTTTGTCTTAGCGCAGGAAGGAGGGCTGTAGCCAAATCGCTGGCTCAGGACTTTAATGCCAGCATCTCACAAAGCAGATTTTTTTGCTCACAAGACTCCACAGCTTAGAGGGAGCACTGCGTAGGACAATCATTTTATCAACTTTCCTCACTATGCTCAGAACCTTCGTACGACAAAGTCAAAATGATCTTTAGCGATATCTTTCTTCACGCATCCTTAAGAGCCTTCCTGTGTTAACGATCAGGTTTCTGCATTTATTTAACGCCATTAATAACTATCGGGGAGCGGAGGGAGAGAGAGTCTCCAGACAAGAAATCGATTAAATATCCGTGATTACCAAAGCGAGCAGACATCAAGGGAGAGAACACTGGAGGTTGCTTCATGACCGGAGGGAGAATCACGGGGAGGGGTTGGCCTTGAAGTCTTAGCTTGATGAGTTTCATCGCTATGGAGAATTCCTGTTGATCCATCCTCCCATCCTTGTTCAGGTCTGAAAGAGCCCTTTAAAGAAGAAGAAGAAGAGATTGGATTTATACCCCCGCCCTTCACTACCCAAAGGTGTCTCAGAGCAGCTTACAAGCTCCTTTTCCCTTCCCCTCCCCACAACAGACACCCTGTGAGGTAAAAGAAGAAGAGATTGGATTTATACCCTGCCCTTCACTACCCAAAGGTGTCTCAGAGCGGCTTACAAACTCCTTTCCCTTCCCCTCCCCACAACAGACACCCTGTGAGGTAAAAGAAGAAGAAGAGATTGGATTTATACCCCGCCCTTCACTACCCAAAGGTGTCTCAGAGCGGCTTACAAGCTCCTTTTCCCTTCCCCTCCCCACAACAGACACCCTGTGAGGTAAAAGAAGAAGAAGAGATTGGATTTATACCCCGCCCTTCACTACCCAAAGGTGTCTCAGAGCGGCTTACAAGCTCCTTTTCCCTTCCCCTCCCCACAACAGACACCCTGTGAGGTAAAAGAAGAAGAAGAGATTGGATTTATACCCCGCCCTTCACTACCCAAAGGTGTCTCAGAGCGGCCTACAAACTCCTTTTCCCTCCCCCTCCCCACAACAGACACCCTGTGAGGTAGAAGAAGAAGAATAGATTGGATTTATACCCCGCCCTTCACTACCCAAAGGTGTCTTAGAGCGGCTTACAAGCTCCTTTCCCTTCCACTCCCCACAACAGACACCCTGTGAGGTCGGTGGGGCTGAGAGAGCTCTTGACAGAAGCTGCTCTTTTTCAAGAACAGCTGTGCCAGAACTATGGCTTGCCCAAGGTCATCCAGCAGCTGCAAGTGGAGGAGTGGGGAATCAAACCCAGTTCTCCCAGATTAGAGTTCCTAACTACTACACCAAAAAGAAGTACACTGACTCAGACGCACGACTTTTGTATGCCTTCTCTGGGGCAGTGGACCATCGCACGTGTTTTGGAGGGAGCTCCCCAGGTTCCCCTGCACAGTGGTTCATGTTCATGGCCTCTGCAACTGCTCCTCTGCCCCAGAAGTCAAAACGGGCTTAATGTCAGATTTCCACACAACTCTTGTGTACGCAGAAGAAGAGGAGACTGGATTTGTACACCGCCCTTCACTACCCAAAGGAGTCTCAGAGCAGCTTACAATCTCCTTTCCCTTCCCCTCCCCACAACAGACACCCTGCGAGGTAGGCGGGGCTGAGAGAGCTCTTTCGAGGACTGCTCGCAAGAGAACAGCTCTGAGAGAACTTGTGAGTGACCCAAGGTCACACCAGCAGCTGCATGTGGTGGAGTGGGGAATCAAACCCGGTTCTCCCAGATTAGAGTCTGCGCTCCTAACCACTACACCAAGTTGGCTTTCAGAGTAAGGATGTAGCATGCCAAAAGCTGCAGGGTCATGAACCAGACGACCAAATCTGGTCCACAAGTCTCTAATTGCTAGCCACCATTATAAATACTTGAGCACTAAAACATATTGTAGTTGTCAGTTTAAGAACTATGGTATTTATTTAAATATAAGACCACGGTCCCCTCCCCACACAGGTATGCCATATAACTCATAGTTTTGGCATATAACTTACAGTTATGTACAATAATAAAAATGTTTTGTGTATGATATTTGAAGGGGAATGGCTGACATTCGAGTAAATATGGTACACAAAAATGTTACATCCAAATCCTAGAAGGGATTTTAAGGAATCTGCTTTGAAAAAACCAAAACTGAAAAGGGGCAATAATTTTAGTCACATCAGATTTAAGTTACATGATTATGCTAGGAGTAACCCATTACCCATCCACATGTTTGGGCTATTTTTATTAGTGGCATGGTGCTAGCCACATATTTTAATATTTTAATGTTAATATTATATATTTGTTATTTGTTTTTATGTTGTTTTTCTCATTTATATGGTTTTAATGTTGTTAGTCGCTGCAAGACCCTTTGGACAAGCGGAGACTAGGGTTCCCAAGTCCGAGTGGCGCTGGAGTGGGGGACTCCAGCACCGCTCTGGGAGTGCGCGCGCATGCTTCGTGCGCACGCACTGCAACCACATCACCCGGAAGTGACGCAACCACGCCGGGCACGCTGGGGGGCGGTGCCACGACCATCCGAGGGAAAACCATAGAGTTTTCCCTCGGATGACTGTGGCCTCAACCCCCAGCGTGCCCGGCGTGGCCGCGTCACTTCCGGGTGACGTGCACGTCGCGTGCTTTGGGGGTGGGGTGGGGTTCCCCCCGGGGCCTGATCCGTCGGTGGCGGAGAATGGACCTCTGGGGTGGAGGTTTCCCCGCCCCCCGGGGGGACTTGGCAAGCCTAGCGGAGATTAAAAAAATCTAATAAATAAACCTTGCCCTGACCTGGATAGCCCAGGCAAGCCCGATCTCATCAGATCTTGGAAGCTAAGCAGGGCCGACCCTGGCAAGTATTTGGATGGGAGACCTCCAAGGAATACCAGGGCTGGGAGGCTATCAAACCACTTCTCTGAACGTCCTCCATGCCCCAGTAGGAGTTGCCAGAGGTTGCCATGACTTCCAGGCACGGGCACACACTCACACGCAAAACGCAAAATAAATAAATAGATAAACCTTGAAGAGATCATCTTCTTCAGCCCCATATAGGCCTCATGCAAACATACATTCTGCAGCCATGCGTTGGATCTGAACGGGATTGTACCACTCTGACTCCACCTGATGTTCGTATATCAGGACTTTATATTTACATAGGGCGCAGCATATGCAGAGTCCCATACAGGTAAGCCCCAGCCAAACAACTTGCACACCTGGACTCCTATACAGTTTCACAGAGTAACTTTTCAAGGCAACTGAAAGACTTGAAGTAGTGGGTGTTGGAGAAACTGTTCTCTGACTGAGATCCTGGGTCACTGCTGCTGGTAGGACTACACCATACGGATCAATGAGACAACACTGTATGTTTTCTGTGTTTTATACAATGCTTTATACAATCACTTTGTATAAAACACAGAAAACAGTGTTTTATACAATGCTTTATACAATCACTCCTGCCAACCTAGCAGTTCGAAAGCAATTACTTGCAAGTAGATAAATAGGTGGGAAGGGAACAGCGTTCCGTGCGCCTTGGTGTTTAGTCATGCCGGCCACATGACCACGGAAACTTCTTCGGACAGCACTGGCTCTTCGGCTTTGAAACGGAGATGAGCACCGCAACCCTAGAGTCGGACTTGACTGGCTTTCGAGCACGGGAAACCTTTACCTTTACTTTACTTTATACAATCACATCCCTTAAATTAGTGCAGAGGAACAGTAAAAAAAGTAGCGACTTCTGAAGTACTTATTCATTTTTTATTTATTGTTTATATTTATATCCCGCCTTTCCAGATATCTGGTTCAAGGCGGCTAACAACATTAAAATGGCATAAACAACCAAGTTAAAACAATTAATAAATACCATACCAGTTAAAACAACACCAGTTGCAACTAACCCAACAGAAATGGCGGTAATCCAAATCCCATCCAACGATAGGGGTAGCGTCCAGCGGAATCTCAGGCCCGAGGGTGTTTTAAAATTTCAGACCAAACGATGTTCCAGGGCACACTCATCAGTGGCAGCCCCTAATAGAAAGCCTGGTGGAAGAGCTCTGTTTTACAGGCCCTGCGGAACTGTAAAAGATCCCACAGGGCCCTGATGTTCTCCAGGAGCTCATTCCACTCTCCGGGAGCTCATTCCACCAGGTTGGGGCCGCCACTGAGAAAGCCCTGGTTCTGGTGACATTCAGCCTGGCTTCTTTCGGACCAGAGAGGGTCAGGCGATGTTGCGACCCTGACCACAGTGCTCTCTGGGGCACATATGGGGAGTAGCACTGTCCCACCTGAACTTTCCATCTCAAGGAATCGAGGACTCTGCCACAGCAGAAAGAGGAGTTCGGCTTACCTAAAAGCAGGGGTCATTTCCTGCAGGAGCGCACAGGAGCGGAGCTCCGGCATTAAAGAGCCCAGGGGGCGGGCACATGCAACAAGCCCCACCCCCTGCTCCCAGCAGCCTTCAGTCAGAGCAAGAAGCAACCAGGTAAGTTACAGAGGGCCCCCCCCGCCTCTCTGGTCCAAAACAGTCCAGTGGCACCTTTAAGACCAAGTTTTATTCAGGTACAAGCTCTCCCTCCTCTGCGAGGACAGATCTGCACCCCCCCCAACCACCAATAGCTAGCAATCCAAAACAGTCCAATGGAGCCTGAGTGGTGGGTGTTACCTTCTGATACACTTGTCAGGGGTGATGTCAGGGGGTGTGGCATATGCAAACGAGTTATGCTAATTAGCTCCTGCACCTCTTTTTCTACGAAATGACCCCTGCCTAAAAGACCCATGCAATACCACTACAAACAGGTGACAGAGAGGTCATGGTGGAGGAAGAGGATGTACGACCCAAGGAGCCTCCATCTTCCAAGCCCATGAACCAGCCACCATCCGAAACGAGCCACTCAGTAATGCACAGAATATGGTCACCGTGAGAGACCAGAGACTCTTCTACCCTGTGCTACAAGACTGGGCCGTGAATTGCCAAGGACAGAACATAATCTGTCCAAGGAGCCGGGGTGACCTGGAAACGGAGCCAAAGCTCCTGGTCCGAGTCTCTGGAAAGGTCACAAAAACAATGACCAACGCCATTAAAAAAAAACACAGGGCTCCAGGGGCATCTGAAGCTTTTAAAGATTCTTCTCAGTCTGTGTGGTACTGCAGCCAGGTGCCTGGAGTCACTTGACATGTTTACCTAACACAGTAGCTTGTGTCCCATAGCACATCCATCCCCAGGGAGTTTCTCTGAGGCAGTTCTCTGTTTAGACGTTTTGCGCTCTCTCTCGCTCTCTCTCTTTCTCGTTTTTTCCCCAGGGGTCATCTTGTTCTCTTCTCTCGCCTTCTCAGTCAATCATGGCCTGCTAACACTTCCTCTTTGCAGGGACGGACCTAGAAGCCGTTTGCTGTACAAAGGCAAGAACTAGGGATGGGCACGGACCGGACTACAGGCCAAATTTTCCCAAGGACCGGGGCCCAGTTCGTGATCTTTGAGCCCGCTCTACACCGTCCCACCGACACGGACCTCCCATGCTCCTTCCAGGAGGTTTGTAAGGTCCGTGTAAGCGGGGCTTGCAAAAGCAACTTAAAGGGAATGCGTTCCCTTTAAATGGCTTTTGCAAAGCCATGACATGTGCAACTGCAGGCCAAGCGGTGACTTCACCCACTTCCAGTTCATCCCGCTGACATGACCTAGTCCGTTAAACGTGGAGGTTCCACGACCTAGCCTGTTAAATGTGGAGGTTCCATGACCTGGTCTGTTAAGCGTAGCGGTTTGTGATCCAAGGGGTCCGTAAACCCCACGTACCGCCGAACCTCAATGGACCACCATTTTTCTGGACCGTGCCCATCCCTAGCAAGAACCCTTTCCACGGCTGCCACATGCTTTCCTTTTCTTCTTCCTTCCAATTTAAATAAGTATCAATGGCAGAGATCTCTTGTGGCCTCTGGTTCCACGGCAGAGATGTCCCTCTCCCCTGACTGAATCTCACCCAGTTAAGCTTTCCTAGAGAAACCTCCCTCAACTGAGTTCTTCCTCCTGCTTCATCCAAACACTCAGGCAGAACTGGGCCCAGGCTGCGTTGACAATGCTGACTTCAGCCAAAATGGAGGCCAAAACAAACTACACAGTTTATCCTAAGAATGTTCTTACCCATAACTAAAACCTCCCAGCTCCAGCAGACATTATCCTCAATAAAAAACCCACAAAACCTGAAACTCAGTGCTTTTCTAGAAATAATATCCCATTCCCTGGAAGAGTACCTTGGGTTCCATGGGTATCTCAACCACGTACACAAAAGAACAACAACAACCCCCCCCCCACATACTGGAAAGTACTTCCACTGGTTCCCGAAGTGGGCAATACTGCCCCCTCGGGGGCGCGGGAACGATCTGGAACGATCCAAATGCAGATTCAAAAACTGCATCTTTTTGTCCACTTCTTGCAGGTAGATGTCCAAATACCAAATAAGTTTGGGAACCTCTGAACACCTTGCCTCGTGAACCTTCCAGAGAGGAGAAGACAAGCACAACCCCAGGTCTACTCGGTGCTTTTCTAGAAATAATATCCCATTCTCTGGAAAAGTACCCTGGGTTCCATAGGTATCTCAACCACGTAAACAAAAGAACAACAACAAAACCCCCACATACTGGAAAGTACTTCCACTGGTTCCCAAAGTGGGAAATACTGCCCCCTCGTGGGCGCGGGAACGATCCAGGTGGGCTGGAACGAGTCAAATGCAGATTCAAAAACTGCATCTTTTTGTCCACTTCTTGAAGGTATATGTCCAAAGGGGGCGGTAGACCAAATAAGTTTGGGAACCTCTGAACGCCTTGCCTCATGAACCTTCCGGAGAGGAGAAGACAAGCACAACCCCAGGTCCTAGAATACCTCATAAATGCGATGAGGCAAAATGGCACCATTGCTGCTCTGCCCCACTGCTTTCAATTTCCTGCCCCAACTGAAGTCCATGGGCCTTGATGCAACATCCATTTGCCACCACACCAACAGGGCAAGGTTACTGCCCAGCCCACATGTACATTCCTCAACCCAAGCTCAGCACTAGCCATGCCTAAACACATTCCGCTGCACGTGGGCCAAATCAGGTGTCCCAACACAAAGTGGACACTAACTAGGTCAGGTGCAGAGACTGGAAGTCTCAATGTATGTACAATCATTCTCTAATCCCCACCCAAGTCCTCACCGGCCTCCAGTCTGAGCACTTCAGGCGTTACATTGAAACGTCTGGGTTGGAACGACAGGTCAAAGTCAGTTTGCACTGCAGACACCAGAAACCACAGTACAACATACAGCTACAATAAAAAGTAAAGGTAAAGGTTCCCTTGCTCGAAAGCCAGTCGAATCCGACTCTAGGGCTGCGGTGCTCATCTCCGTTTCCAAGCCGAAGAGCCAGCGCCGTCCGAAGACGTTTCCATGGCCATGTGGCGGGCATGACTAAACACCAAGGCGCACGGAACGCTGTTCCCTTCCCACCGAAGTGGTCCCTATTTATCTACTTGCAATTTCTTGCTTTCGAACTGCTAGGTTGGCAGGAGACAGCTACAATACGGAGCTTCATATTTTGCAACATCTACTCAGGGGAGGAGATTGTTTTGTGGGGGAAAGTTTTGCAACCCACATTTTAATATTTTTTGAGGAAGTGGCGTTGTTCTACTCCATTGCTTGGCACGCTGAATACAGTATTTCTTAAATAGTCTCTTCCCACAGGGCAGGTGGCCAACGGTAACAGGGCTGGTTCGCTTCCATGTTTGAAGCAAAAATCATGGTTTTTAAGTGGAATAGGTTGTCAGTAAGGTTGCCAACCTCCAGGTGGTGGCTGGAGATCTTGTGGGATCAGAAATCCTCTCCAGGTAGGGCTGCCAAGTGGGGGTGGGTGGCGGGTAAACACCCGCTTTGGAGGCCCGATTTCCACCGCCGCGGAATCGGGCCCCGGGTGACGCAACCACGTTGGGGCATAGCCTAGATCGTCGGAGGGAAAACTATGGTTTTCCCTCCGACGATCAGGGCCACGCCCTCAATGTGGTCGACGTCACGTGTCACTTCCGCTGACGTGCTGGCAGCACACACGCATGCGCATCCGGAGAAGTCCAGCGAGGCTCCCCCGCCGGCTAGTCTATTTGACTTGGCAACCCTATCTCCAGGCAACATAGATCAGTTCCCCTGGAGAAAATGGCTGCTTTGGAAGGTAGACTGTTTTGGCCGTATACCCCACTGCAATCATCAGAAGTCATCTCCAGGCAATATAGATCAGTTCCCCTGGATAAAAGGGCTGCTTTGGAAGGTGGACAGTTATGGCATTATACCCCACTGAAATCCCTCCAGGAATTTCCCAACTTGGAGCTGGCAAACCTAGTTGCCAGACAATCCTATAAAGAATTTTTTCTCTCTTCTGCTGCTTTCCGACCCTAGAAATACACAAATGAATGGGACTGAAAGTTTAGCTCCATTAGTCCAGTTTTTAAAATCAGAAATGGGAATTACATTTACCTTTTATACGACAGTGTCTTTAACGTAAACAATGTAGTAGTTTAAATTTTAATACAAAGATCACTTATTTCCTTCATAGTCTGCCTTCCTTACAGGAACCATAATAAAATAAGCACATAAGAGATTTCATCTCACAATATTAAAAACATAAAAAACCCAGTACATTACCATATTTCAGCCAAGACCTGCGGCGGCAGACCCGATTGTAAAAAAAAGGTACGGGCTTGATCCCCTGTGTAGAAAAAGAACAGAAGGAAAAGGAAGATGTCAGAAGGCAATTCCCATAATGCTTGTTTTAATGTCTTAATGGCATGGTTTTTTAATATTGATAATTTATTATGTTAATAGTAAGCGGCCTCCAGCGGTACCCTAGAGAGGCAGCATAAGAATTTCCCAGATAAAATAAATAAATAAGATCAAGCTGGACGGACACACACACTAATAATAATCTGAATTAGATTTCCAAGCCTGACAGTCTTTTTGGAATCAAATTAGTACAACCATTTGCAATGGCATAGAAACATGTACTCCAAAAATGGACTTTTCTAATAAAGCCACAGTTGATTGTAATTCCGATTTGGTATTTAATAACAATGAGAAAGTACAAGATACAGAGGTACAGTGGAACGTATTTATTGATTTGCAAATTAAATTTATGGATCACCCAGTCCCTGAGTTCACAGCCCTCTGGGCGATGTTCAACAGAAAATAAGATACAGTATAAACATCAATTAAGTCACAATAATAAATCATTCAATACAGCCTTAAAAACAGTTCCCAGATGGTGTCCTTAAAGCAAATTTTAAGCCAGTTCTGGACTGTGTTGCCGCTTTGCAGGTATGGTAGGGAGAAGTCCGAAAGAAAAGATGGAATAAAGGAGGGAGGTGCCAGCCATGTACAGCCTGTTGCTGTCCTCAACCAAAAGCCTGATGCTTCAGACCAATACGACTACCCAACCGGAATAAATCTAAAACATTTATTTAAAATTCTCCCCTACCCCATTCTTCCTGAACACAGCTGTGATGCCCCTTTTCCACTCACACAGAAGAAAGTAAAGTAGAAGTTACAATGTTTCGCTTTTTTGAACTTTTCCCTATTCCAGCATCTTGGATTTTGCGTTACAAAATGACTCTTTTTAGTTAGCTACCTTGAAGCTGCTCTTCACCTCAGCTTCACTCAGTCAGACATACTCTTTGCCCTCTCAGATCCCCAGCTGCCAACTCCCAACTGTTGTTTTCCAACCGTCTCTCCCCAACGTTCCATCAGCTCTTATTGGTCGCTCTTAGGGAGAGGTGGAACCTAACCTGTCTGTCACAACAACCTTCAAGGCAGTTTACACACAAAAAAAGCCTGTAAATACAGACCGAAAGCAAGCAACATCAACACTGTGGATCAAACAGCATTTAAAAATAATCCATATGCATGAGACGTCAGACAAGCCCCATCACATGGCAAGTAGTAAATATGCCACTCTTTTAGTGGTTAAACCAGCAGTTCGTACTAGGGGTAATAATTAAAACAGCATCTTTAAAAGTTCAGGCAAGCAAGCAAGATGGACCACTTTGTGCCTAAGAGGCAACGAGACGAGTTTCACAATTTGGGTGCAGTTATGGGACTTTGTGCCTAAGAGGCAACGAGACTGGAGTTTCACAATTTGGGTGCAGTTATGGGAGAGGTCCAGTTTCCAGCTCCCACACACTGAACCTCAGAAGTGGACACATAAGCTGAAGTGAAAACATAAGCTGAAAGGCAGATCCAGATAAAAGAAGACTGGTTGTTGGGGCTTTTTTTTTACAAGTGTCATCCTTCAGTCATGAAAACATTAAGCTGTAGTTTCTGTACGCTAATAGTAGCCAGTTAGCTTCAAACCAATTAGGCGTCAAGTAGAATGTTCCCGCCAGAAAGGGAGAGGTAGTATTCTTAATGAGATGACCTTAAGATTGACTATTGACTCATCAATATATTGGAAGATGGTACATGTCTTTTGGCACGAACACCAGGGGTGGAGCTTTGGGGGAAAACTTCCTCTGTTCTCACAGAGGGACAAGACTCTAGTCACAGAAAGGAATCAAGATGGAGTTAGCACTAGAAAGATGAGATGGTTTGTTATTGTTTTCCCTTCTCATGTAACCCTTCCCTAATTTTCTTTTATTAGAAGCTAAACACACACATGTCTGAGGCTGCTTTATTTCCGCTGCACATTATGTACTCTGCTAAGTAAGAAGAGAAGAAGAGAAGAGATTGGATTTATACCCCGCCCTTCACTCGGAGTCTCAGAGCAGCTTACAAACTCCTTTCCCTTCCCCTCCCCACAACCGACACCCTGTGAGGTAGGTGGGGCTGAGAGAGCTCTTTCGAGGACTGCCCTTTCAAGGACAACTCTTGTCAGAACTATGGCTTGGCCAAGGTCATCCAGCAGCTGCACGTGGAGGAGTGGGGAATCAAACCCGGGTCTCCCAGATTAGAGTCCGTGCATTTAACCACTACACCAAACTGGTTCTCGCTCATTCAGGACTTTAAGGGTTACAACCCAATCACTGAAATGTGCCTGGAAACCAATGGGGAGCCACTGAAGATCTTTAAAGTACAGATAAAAATATGCTCATTCTGTTAGCAACCTTGCTGCTGTATTCTTAGCCACAAAGCTCACTGGGTGACCTGGGGCCTAGCCTACTTTGCTGTGAGGATGAAGTGCGGACAGGAGAACCACACACGCAGCTCTCCAAACACCCCCCCCCCCGAGGAAGGGCAGGAATGAAAAAATACACGGCAAATTTATGAATTAAGTTTTCCAGCTGCAATGGGAAAAGATGAGAGTTTACTGTGGGTGAACGCGCACCAACCTGTAACGTATCCTCCGACTGGCTTCAGGTTATCGAACTGCTTGTCGTGCTTTGATCTTTCTTCAGAGGTGATGGCCCAAACGGTTTGGCCTCCTGGAACACACAAAAAAAGGAAAATTCTCCTTCAGGAGTACGTAACACAGATATGGTTAATTGGTGGGGGTGGAAAATGTAGTAGTAGTAGTAGTAGTAGTAGTAGTAGTAGTAGTAGTAGTAGTAGTAGTAGTAGTAGTAGTAGTAGTAGTAGTAGTAGTAGTAATAATAATATACTTTATTGTCATTGTACATAGTACAACGAAATTAAAGATGCAATCATTCCGGTGATCTACAACAATAAGTCACAGCCAATTGATGGCTACCCCCACGGGGTTTTCAAGGCAGGAGATGTTCAGAGGTGGTTTGGCACTGCCTGCCTCTGCGGACCGACCCTGGACTTCTTTGGTGGCCTCCCATTCAAAGACTAATCAGGGACAAGCCCACTTAGCTTTTGAGATCTGATGAGACAGGGCTAGCCTAGGCCGTCCAAGTCAGGGCATGTTTAATTGCGGGCGGGGAGATCAATTTTTGGCTTTGTAAATGTGCCCTCACCAGTTTTGGAGAAACACTTCTATGATTCATTTCAGAGGGATGGCCCTGAATAACCTCTTGCAGCCAAATGATGGCTGGATCTGACAGCCATGCTGATTCTGTGGACGTAGGCAGATTGTGAGAAGGGAGGGCAGGAAGGGCTGCCTCAGGGCTTAGTTCTCGTCCGGGCTTTTTTTGTAGAAAAAGCCCAGCAGGAACTCATTAGCATAACAGGCCACACCTAACAGCAGAAACTCATTAGCATAGTAGGCCACACCCCTGACATCACAGCATATTAGCATATTAGGCCACACCCCCATGTCACCAGAAGTGTTGTCATCCAGCCACACCCACCTTTTGCTTCTTATTCTGTTTACTTGTTTGTTGTCAAAACCCAGGGCCTTTTTTTGTAGCAGGAACCCTTTGCATGTTAGGCCACACACCCCTAATGTAGCCAATCCTAATGAGTTTCTGCTGTTGGGTGTGGCCTATTATGCTAATGAGTGCCTGCTGGGCGTGGCCAACTCGGGAGCCAGCCGGAACTCTGTTCCTGTGCGTTCCTGCCCAAAAATAGCCCTGGTTCTCGTGGCCCTTTCTCACACGCCCAGAGAAATGCCGATTGCCACTTTGGGGTCAGGAAGCAATTTTTCTCCAGGACAGTTTGCCTGGGGATCCTGGAGGTTTTATGTCATCTTCCGGGCATCAAACAGGGTCACTGGCGGTGTGTGCAGGGGAGGTATTTGTGAATCTAGTCCAACCCCCTTGCGCAGGGGGTTGGACTAGATGACCCCGGAGGTCCCTTCCAACTCTATGATTCTATGAAAACAAACAAAAGAATAATCAACGTATTGTAGCATACGCAGGGTCCCTACACACATACCCCAAAGCCCATTTATCATTTACACTGACCAAACTGGACTGCCTTTAAAAGAATGAAACGTTCACAAACCAGACACTAAGAACGGAAACACTCCGATCCCAAACAGAGGGGCGTTTCAATCAGATTTCTACTTCGCCATATTGCAACAAAGAACGATTCACAAGGAAATGCCAGCATGAAACTATCAAGGTGGAATTAATATGCAGATCTAACACTTACCAAGATTGGGCTTAATAAGAACTGGGAGTATATCTGCCACATTACAGAATGTACTTTGGTCTCCTTCCAGGGCCATGTACACTCTTTGCCAGCTCATCCACAGCTGGGAATTGTCCTCACCCATTCCAATGGGGTTCTGACTGTGTACTTTTGATTGGCTCTTATTTTTATCTCTGCTCCGAGATATTACTGCAATATGCCGCCATCTTGGAATGCCTAGTCTTCAGTCCCTCTGGAATAACTCCCCCCGCCCCCGCCTTCTTTCTGCTTGTACCTTCAGGCTTGTGTGCATATATAAACTGCCAATTAAATATAACACTTCATGCCTTTAATTAAGCAGAACCTGACTCACAAACACTCACGCCACCATATATTTGCTAGTGAGACCTCACAGTTCCTCAGAACTTTTGCTATTCTATGATTCAAGGAATCTTCCTTCCTAGATGGGAGTTATTTTCCAATGCTGTCCCCCCCTTTAAAAAAATCTTTAGCTCTTAACACAAAGTATTATGAGGAATTTTCAACATCTGTGCACAGGAACTTCCTCCTACCGCTGACTATTCACAGTATACGCAGGAAACATGATTCACAAACGGTAGTGCAACCAGCTATTCCACTGGCTTTTGACTTAAAAAAAACACACTGTCGAAACTCTTTAGAATTCATACTTGCCAGCTGTAATATATGAGAAACCAGCTAAGCATTAACATCAAATGATAATACTATAGACTGAATGGTATTAAACAAATAATTTTTCTCCGAGTCTCAACTTGGGGACAATGAAAAAATAGTGGACTTTCAATTAACTGCCACAGAAAGTGGTGGCGGCTACAAGCATGGACGGCTTCAAAAGGGATTTAGATAAGCATATGGAGCAGAGGTCCATCAGTGGCTATTAGCCACAAGGTATAGATAGGGGCTCTGGGGCAAGTGATGCTCTGTCTTCTTGGTGCTTGGGGGGGTCAACAGTGGGAGGGCTTCTAATGTCCTGGCCCCACTGGTGGACCTCCTGATGGCACCTGGTATTTCTGGCCACTGTGTGATACAGAGTGTTGGGCTGGATGGGCCTTTGGCCTGATCCAACATTGGCGTCTCTTATGTTCTTATGTTCTTAATGTGGCATTCGCTTCTTTCTGCTGAATTTTAGCATTATCCGCTTTGTACAGGGCACGACATACAGCAATGGTGCACCATGGGGCTTACCATTAAAAGGTACAATAGACAAAGTGCAGTTTCCCCGCTTCAAAACCACACAAGAACGGCATTCCCTACAGCCTGCAAAGATGCCTTAAACGGCTTCGTTCATAAAGAGCCTTCCAGGTAGGAATTCTGTAACATATGAAATCGTGGTGGCGGGAAACTGTGGTAAGTTGCAGCTGATTTATGTTCATACCTTCAGGCACAAACGTTAAGTCCTGCGGGGCTTTCAAGGCAAAGAGATGTTCAGAGGTGGCTGTGCCATTGCCTGCCTCTGTGTTAGCAACCCCGGACTTCCTTGGTGGTCTCCCATCCAAGGACTCACTAGGGCCAGCCCTGATTAGCTTCTGAGATCCGATGAGATTGGCCATCTAGGACAGGGGTCATTCCGTAGAAAAAGAGGTGCAGGAACTCATTAGCATAACTCATTAGCATATCTTATTTGCATATGCCACACCCCCTGACATCACCGGAGGTGTGTCAGAAGGCAACACCCACCGCTCAGGCTCCACTGGACTGTTTTGGATTGCTAGCTATTGGGGGTGGGCGGGAACGTGCAGAGGAGGGAGAGCTTGTACCTGAATAAAACTTGGCTCCTAAAGGTGCCACTGGACTGTTTTGGATTGGGGGGCTGGGGGGAGCTCTGCAGCTTACCTGGCTGCTTCTTGCTCTGACTGAGGGCCGCTGGGAGCAGGGGGTGGGGCTTGTTGCATGTGCCCACCCCCTGGGCTCTTTACTGCCAGAGCTCCGCTCCTGTGCGCTCCTGCAGGAAATGACCTCTGCATCTAGGACAGGGCAACAGGTGAACAGAGGTGGTTTGCCATTGCCTGCGGAGTATCCCTGGACTTCCTTGGAGGTCTCCCATCCACATACGAACCAGGGCCGACCCTGCTTAACTTCTGAGATCTGATGAGATCTGGCTAGCCTGGGCCGTCCAAACACCAAGAAGAAACTGGTTTGAAAAAACTTGTGTTTCTATTTGCAGCTACAACTCAGAGGAAATGTTTCTCCTCTAGAACGACAGCTGAACTTTTAGAATATGTAACACTGGTTGAGCTTCCCTTACAGAAAATCAGGGACAGGCAATGAAACATTGCTAACTGTTTTTGGCCTTTCTTCCTCGCCTTCCTCCAAACCTTGGTCAGTTTTCATGTCCTTCATCAGGCTGCGGGCTGCACGGGGGCTTAAGAGGTCCATGCAGTTGGGAAGGAAGGCAGGGGACGAATGGAGTAAATAAATAAATACAGTCAAAGAACACTATGTGAACTTGCAACCGTGTCCCACCTTCATGACGCCAAGATTCTCTGGAAACACAAAGGAAGGATAAAGGCATGGTTCTTGTTCTGACCACTTTGATACCTCCTCCCCGAAAAGACAGGTGAGTGCACGGCCCAGTTCACCTTGGAATTAGGCTTTGGCAAACAGTGCCATTGCCTACTAAATCAGCAAATAGGTAAAGGTTCCCCTTGCTCAAAAGCCAGTCGAATCTGACTCTAGGGGGCGGTGCTCATCTCCGTTTCCAAGCCGAAGAGCCAGCACTGTCCGAAGACATCTCTGTGGTCATGTGGCCAGCATGACTAGACGCCGAGCTGCCTGTTACCTTTCCACCGAAGCGGTACCTATTTATCTACTTGCAGTTTCTTGCTTTCAAACTGTTAGGTTGGCAGGAGCTGGGGCCAGAGACGGGAGCTCACTCCGTCAAGCGGCAATCGGGTCTCGAACTGCTGAGTTACCGGCCTTCCGGTCTGCAGCTCATTGTCTTAACCTCTGAGCCACCACGGCCTAACATCAGCAAATACCCTTGGGTTAATCCAAGCCTCATTCTGAATCCTATACCTCTGTGGAGCTCTGCCTCTTCTGTTGAAGGAAGGCTCCCAGGTTGGCTGGGTGAGGGTGCCAGCCAGTCTCTTTCCGACGCCAAAGCCAATCTCTGTGTAAGATACAGGTGCCAACTTTCCCTGGCCCTCTTATCTTTAACAAGCAAGGATTCAAAAGGCACATCCGCCTTCGCTATCCTTGCGCCCCCGTGTTCAGATAAAAGTTTTCTTGAGGATGATTCTGTATTTCTGCTGAACAGAACGGGTTTAAAGCAAGCTGGTTTTGTTATTCATTCAGACTTGAATGTTCATTTCCATTTGCTGCACGTCTCTTATTACAGGTTTCTGATCTCCTGCTTCCCTACTTTGACAGCAGTGTTCCCCCTAAGCTGGGTTAGCATGAGCTAGCTCACACGTTTTTTAGCCTCCGGCTCACCCATTTTTGTCTCGGCTCAGGAAGGAGGGCTCCAGAGCAAACTCATGTATGCAGTAGCCAGATTGGTCGCTCACAACTTTAATGCCGGAAGCTCACAAAGTAGAATTTTCCCTCACAAGACTCCACGGCTTAGAGGGAGCACTGTTTGACAGTAACCTAAAATCTGCACAAGCTTGTCAGAGAAGGCTTAAAAAGATGCTGAAGCTGGAGTTTCTGTCGGCACACAAGACTCTTTTGTCTGCGCTTTGTAAGTTTACCTTAGTAAGAGATATCGTTTGCCGGAAGGCGACGGTGTTTGCTGTTCTCACAGAAGCGACTGTTGTGAGGAAACCACAAAGCTTCCCTTGGTTTATGGACTGATCAAAGGTACCTTTTGGGGAAAGACACCGTAAAACGCAACCAGCCTCTTTAACCAGCAGGAAGCCTGGATTTTAAGAAGACGCTTCAGGCAAACATGCTGTCAGCTTGGTCGTACCACGGCTCACAATGTCTACAGAGCATTGTAGAGAGGCCAGCGTGGTGTTGTGGTTAAAGTCTCAGACTAGGATCTGGGAAATCCAGGTTCGAATCTCCACCTGTGCCACGGAAGCTTGCTGGGGGACCTTGGGCCAGTCACACACTCTCAGCCTAACCTACCTCACAGGGTTGTTGTGAGGATAAAATGGGGGAGAATGATGTAAACTGCTTTGCGTTCCCTCTGGGATGAAAGGTGGGATACAAATAACGTAAATAACAAATAAATAAATACAGGGCAGGCTGGTGTGTTTTGTTTATTAGCAGAGATGTAGCCAAAAGTTTTCAAAAACCCATATACTTAAGAGGCCACATTTCAATCAAGAAAAGGGTGGGCGGGCCCTGACCTGGATAGCCCAGGAGAGCCCGGTCTCGTCAGATCTCGGAAGCCAAGCAGGGCTGACCCTGGCAGGTACTTGGAAGGGAGACCTCCAAGGAATACCAGGGCTGGGACGCAGAGGCAGGCAACAGTAAGCCACCTCTCTGAAATGCTCAAGCCCCACTAGGCGGTCACCAGAAGTCAACCATGACTTCCAGGCATACACACATACACACAAAATAAAGACCCCCCCCCAAAAAAAAATCAGAAGTGTGTCACATTGTGACATACCTTTAAAACACTGCAAGAAGTACAGATGCTTCAAACAAATTCTTTTCGGGTAGATTAAACGGAGTGCATGTTTGAGATGAATGCTAATAGAGGTAACGGGTAAAGGTCTCCCTTGCTCGAAAGCCAGCGGTAGGCAGGAAAGGAACCTCTATGTACTATGGCCCAAATGCTCTTTTTATATCCCACCTGAGAAAAACAGGACACAAGCACAAACTCAAAGCCAAAATTATTTTTGGGCAGGAACAGTAAATACAACCAGGAAGGGATGAAATCACTATCAAAGAGATACTTGCTTTTACTATTAGAAGCTGGGGCCAGAGACGGGAGCTCACTCCGTCATGCGGCACACTCGGGTCTCAAACTGCCGAACTACTGACCTTCAGGTCTGCAGTTCAGCGTCTTAACCACTTGAGCCACCGCAGCCCCTTATGCTAATAGAACACACACACAAAATGCTATCTGTAAGCAAAAGCAGACATTCTTCCACATACGGACCGAAATCCTGACGCAATCTCTGTGTACTGTTAAAGGAGACTAGGTTATAGAAAGACAGAGAGCTCCGAGTCGGCAATGAACACCATATACAAGCTACTTACTATTTAGGGTTGTGAGAATCTGAGCCATTGTGGTCTTCCTCGATACTCCTCGCTAGCTTTTAGCCATCTGCAACTGAAGAGGGGGGGAAAAAAGATTGTGCATTAATAATGCAACAAGGACAGAGCACAGACCTTACCATTCACGGAGACAACCCGCCTGTCCCCTTAAACCGAGACTTCTGACAAGAAAACAAGGCAAGGCCTTGCAATCTCTGCTGGAGAGGATGAATTTATAAAGGGGGGGGGGGGAGAGAAGAAGGATTTTGGATGGTCTTGACTCCAGAAGGTGGGAGGGGAGAAGGCTGTGAGCTGTTTCGAGCCCCCATGGAGGAGAAAGGCGGAGTATAAGTGAAGCAAATCGATAAATAAAAATGAAGTAAATACAAATGTTAATGTAAAGGGATATATTGTGCCGTCAGTAGTACTTGGGCATCAAAATATGCCTACAATAACTGGGAGCACGAATTATATTACATTAGATTTGTTACACACACACACACACACACACACACACACCCCTGGATCCTTAGCAAATTAGTAGGAGTCTAGCGGCATCATCTCGTCAGATCGTGGAAGCTAAGCAGGGCTGGCTCTGTTTAGTATTTGGGTGGGAGACCACCAAGGAAGTCTGAACGTTTCTTGCCTCGAAAACCCTACTGGGTTGCCATAAATCGGCTGCAACTTGATGGCAAAAAAAAAAGGAGGAGGCGCTATAAAGACGAATAGAAGGCTGAGCACTCCAGGAAAGATTATATACATACACCCATATCAGGGAACAGCTGAACACAGGGTTGCCAAGTGCCCCCGTCGCTCTGGAGGGGGGGATTTCGGGGGCATTCCAGGGGTGGGCGGGGAAATCGGCCGCACGCATTGCGGCCCCCACCCTGCTCACAAAAAGACCCTTTAAAGGTCTGCTGAACGTGCAGCCCATGACCTCCCCTCACCTTCCTGCTAGATCAGTCCCCCCCATCAGCTGACAAAATGGAGTCCAGGTTACCTGGACCTGGAGACTGGTAACCCCATTTGGAAAAAAGACCCAACCAATAAGAGTACTTGGACACAACAACCTAATTACACCCCCTTGACCCTGCTACTAATTATTCATTCATTACTAACTGTGGATTGGGAAATTCCTGGAGATTTGGGTGGGGGGTGGTGGAGCCTGGTAGGACAGGGTTTGGGGAGAGGAGGGACCTCAGAGAGTATAATGCCATAGAGTCCACCTCCAGAGTAGCCATTTTCTTCAGGGGACTGATCGCTATCATCTGGGGATCAACTGTAATTGAGGAGATCTCCAGGCCCCACCTGGCCTATTGCCTAGTTAGACTCCAATGCTACTACCTCAGAGGAAGCAAGCTGTACTCCATGGAATGTTACGCTGGAATAATACGAGCCCCGTAGGGCACTGAGGTCCACAAATCAACATCTCTTGGTGGTCCCCGGCCCCAGGGACGTCCAATTAGCCTCAACCAGGGCCAGGGCTTTTTCGGCCCTGGTAGAATGAGGTTACTGCAGTTCTACAGGGCCTGCAAGACGGAGTTCTCCCACCGAGCTTTTGATTGAGGTGGCAGACATCCCTCCTTCCTCATCTGTTGGCCAATCTCCCACCAGTGGCCTGGATCTGAATAGACATCCGGGCACCCACCACTGTATTTCAGTCAATCTGGTTGGACATCTGATCAATGCTCCCTCTAAGCTGCGGAGTCTTGTGAGCAAAAATCCTCCTTTGTGAGCTACTGGCATTAAAGTTGTGAGCGAGCAACTGGGCTGCTGCATAAATTAGTTTGCTCTGAAGCCATCCGTCCTGAGCTAGGACAAAACTAAGCTTAGAGGGAATAGTAAAGGTAGGGTTGCGGTGCTCATCTCCGTTTCAAAGCCGAAGAGCCAGCGCTGTCCGAAGACGTTTCCGTGGTCATGTGGCCGGCATGACTAAACACCAATGCGCATGGAACGCTGTTACCTTCCCACTGAAGTGGTACTGCATCTGTTATCTCTGCTTTTACACAGTATTCTATGATTTCATCTTGTGTAAACTGTCATCTTCACATTTTTAAAATTGTTTTATACTGATTGATGTAAACTGCCCTGAGCCCGTTTACAGGGAGGGCGGTATATAAATCAAATTTAAACAATTAAAAAATAAATTAAATCTTCTTAGCCTGTAAAAAGTGCCAGCAGGGTTCCTGTTTGATATTGCAAACAGACTAACACGGTTACCCATTTGAAATTAGTAAATTAGATCATCTCTGACCTCTAATTAATGAAGCTATTTTATTTATTCACTTTATGTCTTGCCGTTCTCCCCAATGGCGGACTCTCCTCTCCTCCACGTTATCATCACAACAACTCTGTGAGGTAGGTTAGGCTGAGAGTGCGCAACTGGCCCAAGGTCACCCAGCAAGCTTCCATGGCAGCGTGGGAATCTGAACCCGAGATCCTAGCCCGACACTTTAACCACTCCACCAAGCATAAGTGAAAAACGCAGAAAAGGCAAACATTAATTAATTCCAAGTTCAACTATGCTTAGATTTCTAGAGTACAACATCAATCCAAGTAATTACCTTTAAATTTTACCTCAGTGTAACAGAGCGAGCAGAGATTGATGGAACCAGTCAACCGAGAGGCCTTGGTTTAACTGTACGTAATACTTTGCAAAGGATGAGACGGCAAAGGATGAGATGGTTAGACAGTGTCACGGAGGCAACAAACATGAAATTGAGCAAACTTCAGAGGACGGCGGAAGACAGGAGGGCCTGGCGGAATCTGGTCCATGGGGTCGCGAAGAGTCGGACTCGACTGTGCGACTGAACAACAACAATACTTTGCATCTAGCAGAGACCATAATGCATTCACACAGAGGTGGGCTACTAACTGCCTCCCCAAATCTTACTCATTTAATTTCATAACTGGATATTATTAGGGAGGGGAAAAAACCACCGTTAAAAAGGAACTAGGATATAAAAGGAGGAACTAATTGCTTGAGGCTCATGCAAGCTACATGAAGCCACCCAGAGAGGCTCAAATAGAATACATACCAGTATGGTGTTTTCTTCTAGACCTAATCAATTCCTCAAGACTAAGGTGTGTAAATTAAAACAGCTATTCTAAAAAGTTACAAAGAAAAACACACACGCAAACATGACTAAGCAGCGGACGTAATTATCTCTTTATCAAACCCAACTCTTCTTAAAAAATGTGATTTTGTAGTTAGATTTGCCTCCTACTTCTTCATCCATGTTTGCACCTTTAGGATATAATCCTCAAACCATGTGTTGTGAAGTTACTGAAATAATTAAGCACACGCTGAAGGAAGTTGCTCGAGGAATGACAGGACAGACACTTTAGGACTAGTTCCGGGGTTGGTTTGCCCAATTAGCAAAACACAAGGCTGCTTTTCACCACCACCCGCCACCAGTAGTTCACTTGCTCCCCACAACTTGGTGTAGTGGTTAAGTGCACGGACTCCAATCTGGGAGAACCGGGTTTAATTCCCCACTCCTCCATTTGCAGCTGCTGGATGACCTTGGGCAAGCCGTAGTTCTGTCAGAGCTGTCCTTGAAAAGGCAGTTTCTGTTAGAGCTCTCTCAGCCCCACCTACCTCACAGGGTGTCTGTTGTGGGGAGAGGAAGGGAAAGGAGTTTGTAAGCCGCTCTGAGACTCCAAGTGAAAGGCGGGGTATAAATCCAGTCTCCTCTTCTTCTTCTATCTACCGCTGAGGATGGATTTTGGTGCCATTAGCTGCTTATTCCCCATCCCTACTGCCAGTACTGCTGCTGGGTGCTGAGGGAGACAGGCCTGAAGGAGGGCCCATCCTCATCCTTGCTCATCAAACCTGCAGGAGGGATAGTTGCTGGGTTCCCAACCTCCAGGTGGGGCCTGGAGAACACCCGCTATTACAATTGATCTCCAGGCAATACAGACCAACGACCCTGGAGAAAATGGCTGCTTTGGAGGGTGGACTCTATAGCACCGTACCCTGCGGAAGTCCCTCCCCTCCCCAAACCATGCCCTACCCCGGTTCCACTCCCCAAATCTCCAGGTACTTCCCCATCCAGAGCTGGCAAACTTAATAGTCGGTCTCTCTATCTCTCCTTCACACACTCACAAATACCTCTGCCTCACTGTGGTGCTGCATATACTTAGATTCAAGGACTTCTGTACCGACGAGGAGTAATGCTGTGATCTTGTACACAAAATATGCAAAGATTCAGGGGTGCTCGACATGGCTGGCTCCAGATTTTTGTGGATCTTGAGTAACAGAGTGCCATCAGAAGGAGAAGAAGAAGAGAAGAAGAAGAGATTGGATTTATACCCCGCCCTTCACTTGGAGTCTCAGAGCGGCTTACAAACTCCTTTCCCTCCCCCTCCCCACAACAGACACCCCGTGAGGTGGGTGGGGCTGAGAGAGCTCTGACACAAACTGCTCTTTTTCAAGGACAGCTGTGCCAGGGCTTCAGGAACACCTTGGTACCACCCCTACTTCCTCCTCATAATGGTCCCTCCCCTTTAACTCCACCCTTCCGCCTCAAATGTCACCCCTTGCAGCTGAGGAGGATGGATAGTGTTGCCAGCTCTGGATTGGGAAATACCTGGATATTTTGGGGGCGGAGCCTGAGGAGGGCGGGGTTTGAGGAGGGGAGGGACTTCACTGGGGTATAATGCCACAGAGTCTACTTTCCAAAGCGACCATTTTCGCCAGGTGAACTGATCTCTGTCGCCTGGAGATCAGTTGTAATCCAAGGAAATCTCCAGCTACAATCATGGGAACAAAGTGGAAAGCACCGTGATTGAATTTCACGAATATGTTGTTGTTGTTCAGTCGCACAGTCGAGTCTGACTCTTCGCGACCCCATGGACCAGCTCCCGCCAGGCCCTCCGGTCTTCCGCCGTCCTCTGAAGTTGGCTCAATTTCATGTTCGTTGCATCTATGACACTGTCTAACCATCTCATCCTTTGCCGTCCCCTTCTTCTTTGACCTTCAGTCTTTCCCAGCATCAGGGTCTTCTCCAGTGAGTGCTCCCTTCTCATTGGGTGGCCAAAGTATTTGAGCTTCAGTTTCATTATCTGGCCTTC